AATGCTCGCAGGACCCAGGAGAAAGCTTGATGAAGAGGCTGGTAAATGTCAGTGAATTTCAGCCTTTCCTGAGGTGTTGGCTGTCATTCCCCGCCTCCCATCCCTGCAGCAGGAAGGTAGGGGTGGAGGGAACAGGGCACTGGGCCATATTCCAGGTGCAGCTTGCTGAAGCCAGGGTGGGCAATAAAGACGTTGTCCTCCAAATATCAGGGTTGTATTCTGAGCACTGATGATGCTTGTGATGGCGGAGAGATTGGCACAAAGGCTGGCATGAAGCCATTGATTCAACCCCACAGGCTGAAGTAGTTTCCAGGAGGTTAAAGAGGCAACACTTTCCCCCAACCCCTTTTTGGACCCAGACACTTATGGAAATCTTTGTCAGGTCACTACTGGCTGAATGCACAAACAGTGGGACAGAAACTTCAGTGACCACACACAACAAGGACACACACCTGGCAAAAATAGTTTGAAAAAGTCACAAACAGATGGCTTCAGCCCTCAGTAAGTAAGACTCAGCAATCCTGGAGGAATGGGAGAACTAAGATTTCCAGAATAACCACAACATAACATTTGAAATGTCCAGTTCTGAATGAAAAAGTTGCAAAACAGATGAGGAAATGGGAAAGTAGAGCCTGTTTGTAGGAAAAAAGTACGTGAAAGAAGGTATGCCTGAGGAAGACCAGATATTGGAATTATTAATCAAAGATGTTAAGTCAGCTGTCTTAAATATGCTCAATCAGCTAAGGGAACCATGGACCAAGAACTAAAAATCAGGAACTGATGTATGAGAATATCAGTAAAAAGAGATTACAATAAGAAACCAAACAGAAATTCCTGAGTTGGTAAGTATGACAACTGAAACAAAAAACTCACTACAGGGGTTCAACAGCAGATCAGAGCAGCAGAAGAAAGGATCAGCAAACTTGAAATTATTCAGTCTGAGGAGCATAAAGAAAAAATAATGAAGAAAAATGAATAGAATCTGTGGGACCTGTGGGATACCATGAAACATACCAATATGCTCATTATAGAAGTTCCAGAGGGCCAGCCCGGTGGCACACTCGGTAGAGTGCGGTGCTTGGGAGCGTGGCGGTGCCCCTGCCGAGGGTTCGGATCCCATATAGAGACCGGTTCCCGCTCACTGGTTGAGTGTGGTGCGGTTGCGACACCAAGGGTTGTGATCCTGTTGCCGGTTGCGGTACGGGCGCGACACTGAGGGTTGCGATCCCGTTACCAGTCACGAAAAAAGACAAAAAGGAAAAAAAAAAAAAAAAGAAGTTCCAGAGAAGAAAAGATAGAGAAAAGGGCAGAAAAAATATTTGAAGAGATAATGGCTAAAACGTTCCCAAATCTGAGGAAACGAGTATACACATCCTGGAAGCTCAATGAACTTCAACCAGGATAAACTCAAAGAGACCCACAATGAGACACATTACAGTCAACTTGTGGAAGTCCAGAGACAAAAAATTTGGAAAGCAGCAAGAGAGAAGTGACTCATTACACACAAGGGATCCTGGGTAAGATTAAAAGCTGATTTCCACTAAAAAACCACAGAGGCCAGAGGCAGTGGGATGACATATTTACTCATAAAGTTCTGAAAGAAAAAAGGAATGTCAACTGAGAATTGCATATCCATCCAAACTATCTTTCAAGAATGAAAGCGAAATTAAGACATTTCCAGATGAACAGATGCTGAGGCAGTTCACTTGCCATAGAACTGCCCTGCAGGAAATGCTAAACTGAGTCTTTCAGGTTGAAACGAAAACACCCTAGACAGTAAGTTGAAGACATAAGAAAAAATAAGAACATAGGTGAAAGAAATTATGTACGTAAATGTGAAAGTCAGTATTATTGTACTTTTTGCATGGTTTGTTA